CCGAAGCGTTTGTTACAAATTTCTCAATTTTTCATTGTCAGTCGTTCATCGAAATTGACAAAATCCAAAGGTGAGTAGTATCAATATGATGTACATACAAAATTTATTTGCATTGACGTTTTCTTTTGGCTAAAAGCCTCGTTTTCTGTCAGACAGTAAAAATGTAACGGAAGTTACAAAAACTGGAAGTGGCTTGTTAGGGCCTTAAAACGGGTTTTGGAGTCACAAGAATGAAAATTTTGAACATCAGAGTAGAATATATCGTAAAAATAATCATATCTAAATGTTTAAGCTGTAGGCGTTTAGAGATATTTATGAATAAACCAATTTTAAACGGCGTATTTAAATAATAAAACTGAATCGTTGCGTGACATAATTGGACCTACTCTTCACAATCAGCTTCAGGTGGCCAACTAGCCCAGATGAAATATGGGTGGACTTTGACAAGATTCTGGGAGTCATTGAAGAGCCCTCGTCTCGTGGAAGGTCAAATCGCCACTTCCATTTTAATGATCAGACAATCCAAATGATCACAGATCTATTTGATGGCTGGCTATCAACCAATCAGTAATTTGTAACTACCGTTACTGGTAGTCAATCAATTAAACAGATAGCTTTTTAAGTATTAGTCATGTTTTTCTTTTAAAACTATTTTGATTCATGTATTCATATCTTCAATGAAAGGTTTTTTTTAACAAGAAAGGGTTTTACGTACTGTGTTGACATAAAATATTTGTTTGATATGCAAATGTCGTAATTTAGAAGATTTAATGATGTAATTTTTTTTAGAAGATTGTTTAATTGTAACGTTTATTGAAAGGAAGGCGATTAGTTTTATGTTTTCCTTCGTGAAAATTCGTGCCATATGGCAGCTAAGGTATTAAACAAGTTTCAGGTCATAGCTTACTCATTTGTAACTTCCGTTACTTTTTTTGTAACTTCCGTTACCAAGCTTATGATTAAAATTTCAAGAAAAGGTCTATACGTACGTCCTAACAGACTTGAAGAATATAATGGCATGGTCTTAGCTTCTGTAAAAGAACGTAGTTGTTCTTTCTTCTTCCTCTGAAGAAGAATATAGTATAATTATAAAAAAACTTATTTTAAAAAGAAACAATTTCAGACGGTTTAAATTATTTTTAGATCTCTATATTTTCTTCTTTGTAGGAGCAGAGCACTTTAATAGTATGATTTTTATTTACATGTTGCCCTGTATTAAGTATATACTACGTTGATTTTGAATAACTTAAAAACGAGAACTTAAAAAAGTGGAAAATTATTTTAAAGATCGGTGATTTTTTTGCCTAAAGTGATTTTCAAGTAAGTACAATAAAATGTTTCATAACTACGGAAATATATGACCTTTGGTGCTAATTTTTGAGGTATTTACTCTTCGATATTTGCGCTTTAAATTGAATGATTCGCCACGTACTTTCTGTGAAACTGATTTTTTTCGATTTTCCAAGTGACATTGGGCCCACTTTTTGTGGAATGGGTGCCCTACCGTTAGGATATTTAAGAGCGTGTACTTGGGGCTGAATAACACACAGAGACTCAGTCTTTCAGATGAAGAGCCATTTAGAGTCATCAAGCAGAGAGGGAATGAAAGTTCTTTATCAAACTCGCGGTACCTCCGTTTGCACGAGTTTCTCAAGCTAGTTAACTCCATCAGTCTAACAAACTAAATTATTTATATCTTAAATTCGTATCTAATTCGTAATTTCGTAATTTATATCTTAAATTCGTCAACAGGTCTCTGATTAGCCTTAGCTTGGCCGAGACGACCAGCCAGGAAGTATTTCTTCACAGGTATTCGACAATTTTTCATTGTGTTAATTGTTACTCGTGAAAATAAGGTTGGGAATCCTTCTGCGATAGAGGGCCAGTCTGCTAACATCTTGAATGGAACGTGACGCTCAACGAATTTGCTTGAAATGGACCATTCCCGCAATTCCCAGTGTTCTCGCGATATTTAAAAAATCTGGTGCCGAAATTACGTCGCGAGAACGAGGTTAAGTGGGAAGTTGCTCTCATCGGTAAAGAAAATAAAGTGTCGTGCTAGTGAAAATAAGCCAAACTTTCTGGAAATTCAATGTGGAAGAGAGAAAAGTAATTTGTGGGATGGAGGATATCAGTTAAGTGATGGCGGCAAAGGAAAGAAAAAAGGCAGAACTGTTCCTTTTATGCACTACAGCAATGAAGCAAATAAAACAAGCCGCTTCTGGAAAAGACCACAAAACGTTGTTAGATGCTTAGACGTACGCCTTCTTTAACATTTCAAAGTTCTTGTCCGTCGTCTGCATGCAGCCTTGCCTCAGTTGTTTTCATGTTATCGCTTATTGTTGCTTTTTTTTCTTCCTGATTCTTACGTAGCGGGGGCCTACTGTAATTTTCGAAACGAAACATGACGAAACGAATTGGAAATCTATAATTTGCAAAATAAAAAGCTTTATTTTTCGAAATGAAGATCTGTATTTTGCGAAAAGAGAATACTCAGAGTAGCAGCATGACAAATACACCTCATAAGCAGCGCATTTAAAAATGAGAAAAGAATTCCTAGGTAACGCTTAAAAACTTTCCACAGATATTTTTGATTTTTCAGTGATTTTAATTCAATTTTCTCGAATATTTACCTCCTTTGAAAATCATTTTTTACGCGACTAAGTTGTCCGATCATTGGGCGCTATCAATTTCTGTTCTTCAGTTTTGATCACATAGTTAACGATCTCTTAGTCAGATTTCCGGCATCAGATGTAAAAATTTATTGGAGACATAAAAAATTGGAGAGGATGAGTTATCACCCAGTAGGAAAAAGTACATCGGCTCAGTTAAGTTAGTGTAATTGTAATTACATGACACCTGTGGACTACGAATATTATGTAAGGTTTTCCATACATCTCGCCCGTTTGTATTCTCCGAAGTCGCAAATGTATCTAGGCAGTACGTCTGCCAATTGAAACAAAAAAACTGATCGCCGTAGTTATGGAAAGTTTTCGGTTACTCAAAGTTTATTGCTTTTATTTCACAGGAGCTCACAATGTACCCTGATCATAACTTTTGATCTGCAAAGCTGGATCATGGTTCATATAGCATCGTACTGCTATCACGATCACGATTTTTAAGTCAAAGTAGAAATCTGCGTTCATGATTCCTGTAAATACTTAATCTTTTAATACAAGTGAACACGCATGTAACAGGTAAAAGATGCTTAGTCTCGTTCATTAATCAATTAATCAGTTGGTATATACTTACAGTCCAGTTAAGTTGGTCAGGTTGTCGAATATTCCCTCCTGCAACGTATGGAGCTCGTTGTCGCTTACACCCCTATAGTTGGGTTAAAAAAAAAACACATCAGAAGTCCAGATTAAAGCAATCTATACTCTCTTCAACAATAGGTAGACCAGCTTATTCTCAGTTAAGATCGCCTCTAAAAGCTGCATCTATTCGTTCACTACCCGCTTGTGAGGGTATGACTGACGTTCTTGCTTCTACTCATTACTCCAATACTTATTTCAAGAATTATTCAGTTGTTCATTGTCAGGCTTGAAGGAAATGATACCTGGTCAATTTCCAAATGGAATATAGAGAATACATGGCAATCCATTTCCCCATAGTTGCACAGATAAAAAGAAATCGAGGAACTGGTAATTATGAATGAATGCAATTTATTTGAATCAATTGTCATCAGAATCCTTTTACGATATTGAAGAGCCCATTAAAATTTACGTCGCTCTCGACACTTAGCCCTCCGTCCCTCAGTTGGTAGCAGAAACCAAGCACTATCCAGTAGCACGAGTTTGATTCCTGGCGCAGCACGAATATCCTTGAAAGCTTCTTTTTTGAAATTTCTTTGAGCGAACGGTCAACTTGCAAGGATCATATCGTAAGTTAATTCTTATCCATCGATCAAATCAAATTCATTTCATTCAATTGTAATCAATTTAATAGACCGCTCGGTTAATTCAGTCTTACATAAGGCTACAAAAACAACCGACGTTTCACTTTTGTTTGTTGACAATGATCAGCAGACTCACTCAAACGATAAATGATTACCTTGGTAAACAATACTTAATAATTTTTAACAAGGTTACAATTTAAAATACTTAAGTCAAGTCTATGAGAGAGAAACAACAGAAACGCCATACGAAACAAATCTGTCATTCATTGCGGCTGCTTGTTGAACTAAACAGTTTACGTCCTTCAAATTTCACCTTGGAGAGTGTGTTAATAAAATGTTTTCGCGTTGTCTCTCTCTGCCTCTCTCCGCCAGTTTTGTTCTGAACAAATATTTGTTTTGAAGAATTAATCCCGAGGAGTCGTGACTCTTTCATTTTAGCGGAGCCTTTCTTTGCTCCCGCTGGGTGACACGTTGTTTAGAATGGAGTGGAATGTCTGTTGGTTTCTTAAATCGAGAACTCCCTGTTCAAACTTTCACCGCTATATATAGTTGTTTCTGAGAAAGTAGCTTCTGATATTTCAGCCGTTTTGATTAATGGATGGTGTTTATTAACTTTGTCAATAAACTGGTTGATGACATTGTCAATCGCGAAAATTAAGAGCCGCCAAAATTGTAAGGTAAGTTAGGTAAATTCAAGCCAAATCGTTATCAAATATAGTTATATATCAACAATTTCTGACAAAATCTTGAGAAAATCTTTCACAGATATTTAATACTGCAATCAAGGATAATTTGGGACTGGCCCTGTTCCTGATTTTAAGCAGCTAGAGAGTGCTACTCACAAGTAATGCAGCTGAGTCAATCCATCAAAAATTTTGGTGGTAGTTCTTTTAACAAATTACCATTTAACTGCCTGTAATAAAGGATCTCGATGGCAGGTTAGTAATAACCATGACAATAATTATTGCAATTTTATGTAATTGAGCATATCAACGTTTACTTCCTATTTGTTTATTTTGTCTTCCTTACTGCTTTCCATTGAGCATATTTGTTAACAGGGAAACGTTTGACATAATTGAAAGGCATTCAATATGCTACTCACAAGTTCTGTAGCTGAGTCAATTCATCAAAAACTTTTGCTGGTAGTTCTTTTAACTGATTAATACCTAACCACCTGTAATAAAGGATGTGGATGGTAGGTTAGCAACAACTATGACAATAACCATGACAATAATTATGGCAATTTATTTGTTTATTTTGTTTTCCTTACTACTTTCCATTGAGCATATTTGCTAACAGGGAAACGTTTCACATAATTGAAAGGCACTCAATATGCTACTCACAAGTTCTGCAGCTGAGTCAGTTCATCAAAAACTTTTGGTGGTAGTTCTTTTAACTGATTACCATATAACCCCCTGTAATAAAGGATGTGGATGGTAGGTTAGCAACAACTATGACAATAACCATGACAATAATTATGGCAATTTATTTGTTTATTTTGTTTTCCTTACTGCTTTCCATTGAGCATATTTGCTAACAGGGAAACGTTTCACATAATTTAAAAGTACTCAATATGCTACTCACAAGTACTGCAGCTGAGTCAATTCATCAAAAACTTTTGGTGGTAGTTCTTTTAACTGATTACTACCTAACGCCCTGTAATAAAGGATGTGGATGGTAGGTTAGCAACAACTATGACAATAACCATGACAATAATTATGGCAATTTATTTGTTTATTTTGTTTTCCCTACTACTTTCGATTGAGCATATTTGCTAACAGGGAAACGTTTCACATAATTGAAAGGCACTCAACATGCTACTCACAAGCTCTGCAGCTGAGTCAATTCATCAAAAACTTTTGGTGGTAGTTCTTTTAACTGATTACCATTTAACCCCCTGTAATAAAGGATGTGGATGGTAGGTTAGCAACAACTATGACAATAACCATGACAATAATTATGGCAATTTATTTGTTTATTTTGTTTTCCTTACTGCTTTCCATTGAGCATATTTGCTAACAGGGAAACGTTTCACATAATTTAAAAGTACTCAATATGCTACTCACAAGTACTGCAGCTGAGTCAATTCATCAAAAACTTTTGGTGGTAGTTCTTTTAGCTGATTACCATATAACCACCTGTAATAAAGGATGTGGATGGTAGGTTAGCAACAACTATGACAATAACCATGACAATAATTATGGCAATTTATTTGTTTATTTTGTTTTCCCCACTACTTTCGATTGAGCATATTTGCTACCAGGGAAACGATTCACATAATTGAAAGGCATTCAACACGCTACTCACAAGCTCTGTAGCTGAGTCAATTCATCAAAATCCTCTGGCGGTAGTTCTTTTAACTGATTACCATTTAACCCCCTGTAATAAAGGATGTGGACGGTAGGTTAGCAACAACTATGACAATAACCATGAAAATAATTATGGCAATTTATTTGTTTATTTTGTTTTCCCTACTACTTTCGATTGAGCATATTTGCTAACAGGGAAACGTTTCACATAATTGAAAGGAACTCAACATGCTACTCACAAGTTCTGCAGCTGAGTCAACTCAATAAAAACTTTTGGTGGTAGTTCTTTTAACCGATTACTACTTAACCCCCTGTAATAAAGGATGTGGATGGTAGGTTAGCAACAACTATGACAATAACCATGACAATAATTATGGCAATTTATTTGTTTATTTTGTTTTCCCTACTACTTTCGATTGAGCATATTTGCTAACAGGGAAACGTTTCACATATTTGAAAGGAACTCAACATGCTACTCACAAGTTCTGCAGCTGAGTCAACTCATCATTACTACTTAGCCCCCTGTAATAAAGGATGTGGATGGTAGGTTAGCAACAACTATGACAATAACCATGACAATAATTATGGCAATTTATTTGTTTATTTTGTTTTCCCTACTACTTTCGATTGAGCATATTTGCTAACAGGGAAACGTTTCACATAATTTAAAAGTACTCAATATGCTACTCACAAGTACTGCAGCTGAGTCAATTCATCAAAAACTTTTGGTGGTAGTTCTTTTAACTGATTGCCATTTAACCACCTGTAATGAAGGATGTGGATGGTAGGTTAGCAACAACTATGACAATAACCATGACAATAATTATGGCAATTTATTTGTTTATTTTGTTTTCCCTCCTACTTTCGATTGAGCATATTTGCTAACAGGGAAACGTTCCACATAATTTAAAAGTACCCAATATGCTACTCACAAGCTCTGCAGCTGAGTCAATTCATCAAAAACTTTTGGTGGTAGTTCTTTTAAATGATTACCATTTAACCACCTGTAATAAAGGATGTGGATGGCAGGTTAGCAACAACTAGGACAATAACCATGACAATAGTTATGGCAATTTATTTGTTTATAACAACAACAACGTATTTATTTAAAGAAATATAAAGTTTACAAAACTTCATGTCCTGCAAATAGCTACAATGCTAATCTAGGCAGGACAAGACTTTAACTAAAGGCGTTATTAAATTACATAAGAAAAAAGAAAAGTAGAAATACAAAAACATACAGAAAGAAACACCTTACATATAAATTCAAGTACAAAGGATTTTTTTATTTGAAAAAGACTAAAATTACAACTAGAGGTATATACAATATATCAGGTTAAATGTTTATTTTGTTTTCCCTACTACTTTCGATTGAGCATATTTGCTAACAGGGAAACGTTTCACATAATTGAAAGGCACTCAACACGCTACTGCAGCTGAGTCAATTCATCAAAAACTTTTGGTGGTAGTTCTTTTAACTGATTACCATATAACCGCCTGTAATAAAGGATGTCGGTGGCGGGTTAGTAATAACAATGATAATAATTATGGCAATTTATTTGTTTATGTTGTTTTCCTTACTGGTTTCCATTGAGCTTATTTGCTAACAGGGAAACGTTTCACATAATTCAAAGGAACTCAACATGTTTTTTGCTTTACTTTATTCTGCTCACCCAGTATTTCTCATGAACTAAATAATAAACTATTAAAATCAGTAAATAACTACAGAGAAAGCCCTTTGATATTGTGCTTACACAGATTCGGTCACTCTATTTTTGAATAAAAGTCGCTGTGACTAAAATTTTAACGATCGATTTCTATAATTTACAAAATAAAAATATTCCCGGATGAAGGTTGCTTAGTTTGTTGTTGTAAAGAGACCTGATATTTGAAAAGTTGTCAGAATTCTTTTCAAAAACGCATACAGCCACCTTTGGTATCTGTTATGAAGCAATGTCAAAAAACCTGGCTTTTCATTATTATATTCAGCGCAATCAGAGTTTGAAAACTCACTGACTGAGTAGCATTACAGATGAGTAGCATTATAAACGCAGCTTATGAGCAGCGACTGTTCACTATGCTGTCATCAAATTTGATCAAAATGTTCAAGGTGAAGAGAAATATCTCGACACTCTACGAAAAAAAATCCATAAAAAGCCTATTTTCCTCAGTTCTGGTCTTTTGTTTTCAAAACTTTGAAATATATATCGATATTTCAAGCTCTTTTTAAATTTCCGTCACAGGTTTGAGTTATCGAAAGACGATAATAGAAGACCATCTATGCGAACCTAATGTGGTCTAAGTTAAGGGACTTTAAAAGAAGGACCTACTTTAATGGTATGCGGCACTCTTACTTTTTCTTATTGTTCTTTATTATTTCGATGACTCACTAGTCTATTTTAATAAACCGTTCGGTTATATACGAATACCTGGCCGAGTACTAAGCGTCCTTTACTCACGATGGCTTCCAGGTCGGTCAGAGTTTTCTTTCTTTCTTTCTTTCTTGGCATCGGTTATTGCACTTCCAGTGTTCAGATTAGATCACTCAATTTACTGAAGTGTCGCTCGCTGAATTATTTTTCTCGATCACTTCCTCCGCTCGTTTCCACGAAACAAAAAACTTATTCAAAAGGCTGTGCACAACTTCATTGCTTCAGTTATCGGTGAGCTAAAACTCCAACGTAATTGAATGCTTGTCTAAGAAGTATTCAACCTCCTCTCGTATTCTTGAAAACTTCTTGGATTTTAAATTGCTGAATTCATTTAAAAATATTCAGAAAAAGCTGTGTAAATTGATTAGCATTGGATTTTGATTCAGTTCCGGTCGCATAGCAACACTTCTGTTTTGTGATTTTTTTCCAGTTTTGACAATGGAAAGAAGCAGTGACTTCAGTTTGCTTTAAATTTGAAAAAAAATATTTAGAGTGAAAAAAAAAATTAAGTGTGCGACCACAGCAAAATTTATAAGTGTCTAATTTGAGCGAAGCTAAAATTCCATTTGTTTTGGTTGGATACGTGATCGGTCACAGTTAGCTCTGCGCTACGCCCTTCTTTGCTTTTACCATCCTTATATCTAACGCACGATCGTGGACAGCTGTTAACTATACGCACAGTTGTTACAAACTGTATCTTTACCGTCAGCTTAGCTACCAGTTCCTTCTAACAAAATACTGCAAACAGTTCGTCATGCGAGTAAGAAAAAAAATCACCTCATCCGTGTCTTCCAAATTGGTATTACTGTCCATCAAAATACCAGTGTTGTAGCCGCCCATGGGAAGACCTTTGCTCCTTGAAAACGCTTCTCTCGTGCTCTCCAAACCTTCTGCGTGTATTGATACTTCGATATATGCACAATTGCTATCAAAACTTTTGCCCGTGAAGAAGGAGAATGTTGAATAAATATGTTTGATTTAGAACAAACCTAAGAATCCATCAAACACAATGTTGAGGGAGGTATTTCAAGTGTATGTGGTTGTACATGCTCCACCAACATGATGTTGGACAAAACATGTTCGATTAGGACCAAAGTATACAGTTGTGACTCAGACGTAAATATCCCTTACTTGGCTGAGCTCAGCGTTCACCTTAGATTCTTCAATTTCCATCCGATCATGTCAGTGATTTTTAAGATAAAGAAATTTACATCCAGCTCCCAGACAGAATAGAAAAGAGAGTCTCTGCCAGAACTCAAACCCGCACCTTTCCATCTCAGGTCCAACGCGCCAAACATTAGCCATAAAAAAGCTAACTGCAAGCTGGTCATCATGTTGGTTCGTAATAATCCCGATAAGTGATGAATCGATGATTGTGAATATATGAAAATCATATATGTAAACTGCGGTTTAAGAGCTGAAATTGAATGCGATCTTTGCAGCAACGAAAACCACTCAAGTAGTAGTGAAAATAAGGCCTAAAAAAAAATTGACCGAATTCAGAATGACCAACTCCCAGTTGGCTTGTTAGTTCAGTTGGTTGAGCACTGCCCGGTATCGCCGAGGTCTTGGATAAGGCTTTCAATTTCATTTCTTAAACCGCAGTTGCCAAAACCAAACATTCATCATCGATGTCTCATCCCTCCACGATTCATTTTCTGAGGTTAGTGGCTCATAGCCACTTTAAATTTTTTCTTTATTGCTGCGCAAAAAATAATCCAGTAGTTTAGCTCGGAAACAATGCAAGGTCAGCGAATACCAAACAAAATCATTATCGAAAATTGTTATATATTAATTATATCTGATACGAACTTGAGAAAATGTTTCTTTTGCAATCAAGGAAAGGTTTAGAATTGCCCCTCTTTCTGATTTTATCCAGCCTTGTTAATAACCGCATTATTCATAGAGCCAAAGAGTGCTACTCACGATTTCTGCAGCCGAGTCAGTTTATCAAAAATGTTTGGTGGTAGTTCTTTTAACTGATTGCCATTTAACCACATGTGATAAAGGATGTCGATGGCAGGTTAGTAATAACAATGACATAAAGTATTGAAACTCATGAAATCTACCATATTTGCATTTTCTCTCAGTATCATCATTTTGCCTTGCAAATTTGCACGAAGCATATTTTGCTAAAAGAGGACAATGTTTCCTTCCATTGGAAAGCACTTTACATGTTTTATCCTTCCCTATGATCTGCTCACCCACTGTTTTCTAATGGTACAATACTTTCTTTCCGTATAGCACGTTGGTTTTTTCGATCTCACGATCGTGTTTCTACCTGATTTATACACAGCTCATACAAGGTAATTCAATGTAGACGTAAGAACATTCATGGTGATTATTTTCTAAAAGGGAATAAACGGGAAATACATTTTTTATATTAACCATATACTTAATTTATTTCATTGCACTGTCCATATTACATATAGCTGGTGAGAAAATAACTTAGGTATTACGTAAACTCTGATCTGCCAACTCGATAATTATGTGGGTCAACCGTCTTTAACTCCCGATTATAAAACCGAGGAAAATAAACAAAACGAAAAAAATGCAAAATACTTGTTCTCGTAACATCCTGTGTAGGTTATTCAGCCAGTAGTAAACTTATTGAACAAACAGTCTAATACTAAATTGAGTTTTCAACCGCCGAAAAAATTATAAACGTTGAACTTTACCCTTCACCTAATTTTTTTAGAGACAAGAGAAGAAAAGACGAGCGCTTTGCTTCGGTAATTGGTTTCTTAAATGCTGATTACCATGCTTTAAATGGTTGCATTCAAAGTGAACTGAACAAGAAATATGTTTAAAGACACAGTTGAAAAAAATAAACTATAAACTATCCCTTCAAAGTAATAAATAGCAATCCATTGCCAACGAGTTGCACAGGATAAAAACGATCAAAGAATGAGTAACTAAACAAGTACGATTTATTTCAATAAGTTGCGATCAGATTCATTTACGAGAATGAAGAGCCCACTAAAAGTTGCCTCGCTCCCAACAGTTAACTTCGTCGCTCAATTAGACTGATCAGCATAGTCATTTTAATACTAAGAAATGATGTAATAACTTTGCATCTTTCCTTTAAGAAAACCTCGGCCGAGCAGAGTCTCCCCTCCACGTCAACTTTGTTCATTCCACTTACTCGATGTTAATAAAGAATACTGCATGGGCTTTGTGGGAGTATAACGCATTGATAAAACACGACTTGCCATAAAACATAACCAGTGGACTTAAGTTTCACTCCTTGGCAAGTCATTTACTAAATGAGTTTGTAAATAAACCCCTTCAAGCGGCTAGTATATCGGCTGATAAAGTCCACGGCTAGGAAATTGACTGATAAATCAATATTGGGCCGAGAAGCGAAGCTTCGAGGGAAAACTTGAAATTTTTTAGGACACTCTCTCATGCTCAGCCAAGGACATTGTCAGCCAACATATACTATAAAACCAGAAAAGGGTTACTAATTTTATAACACTCCCATTAATTTTCATCTCGCGCGAAAGTCACTCGTAAAAAAAGCCACTGTTTATCTGATTGCAGACACGTATTTTAATATAAATTATCACTGG